AGTCCGTTCACTTCATATCCCAAGTGCCTGACACAGGTCCTGGCACCTAGTAGCCCCACAATACATTTTTAAATGAATGCAGAGATGAATTCTCAGGACCTTTTACCTCCCGAAAACGCCAGCTCCCAGAGGGCCCTCTCCTGTGCTTCTGGATATTTTGGGGATCCACAGTCTGGACATAGGCTGAACACTGGGAAGTAGGTGGCCTAGGAAACACAGGTGGGTGGCCATGTGATGATGGCCTTGACCTACCCTGCAAAGCTGTTCAATCCCCTCTGGTCCAAGGTCACAGGTCCCTGCACCTGGAGGTAAAGGACCATCAGACACAAGCACCCTTGGTCCTAGGGCCAAACATCCCTGCTTCTGAAGCCACTGAGTTGAAAACAGTCGTCTGTTGAGGGGAGTTAGCTCTGCTTGTCCCTCAATTCCACCAGCAGCTGGAGATCACAGGCCCTAATGCTGTCAACTTTCTCTTCTTGGGCATCTCAGAGCTTGTTCATGAGCCCTGCTGGTCTCCCACAGTGTACCTTTAAGGAGAACATTTCCTTCCCAAATGAGCTTTCATTGCTGTTGTACTGTCACATTTTATTTGGTTACAGAAGACCCTCCCAGCTTGTCCACCCTCCTGGGTGCTGCTAGTTTGAGGCTGAGCAGGAGTGGGAGCTTGGCTGGTCACACAGCTGCAGGTGCTCCACCCTTCTCCACCCTGCATGGTGCCTAGAGGCTGACCTTTAAGGAGGACACCTCGGGTTCCCTGCACTCTGGCGACTGGCTGAGTGCAGTGATGCGAGGCCTGGGCAGGAGGCTGGTGGATGGGAGGAGAGTGAAGGCAAGGGAGTTATTCTTGGGTTTCCTTCCTGCCAGACTGCAGGACAAAGTGGCTGCATCCTTTCACTAATGGCCTCAGCTCCTGCCCCTTCAGCGCTCCTCAACCCGGGTCCCAGAGCTGCCTCCCTTACCTGTTCACACCTGGGAGTGGTAAGGGCTCCCTGCTGTGGCTAGCCTCAGGGTGCTGCACCATCCTTTTTGGGTTTCCATAATCTTGCCAACACCTTTTGTAAATAGCCTTACATGAAATACCCACTATTCACCCCATTTGAGCATGTCATCTACTTCCTGCTGGGACCTCAGGATGCTGTATTGGCTGACCTGTGGGCTGATGGGTTGGGAGGCCAATCCAGAAAGAGATTTCAGTGCTCTGGACCATGAGGGACAGGTGAATAAAGAGGAATGCCATTGCTCTTAGCTGCTGTTCAGTTGCGCCCCCACCCATGGCAACCCCACGGACAATGGAATGAAACGCTGCCAGTCCCACCCCATCCCTGTGATTGGCTGTGGAGCCAACCATGTGATCCGTACAGTTCTCACGGTGAATGTAACGCTGCTGGTCCCCCATACCCATGATTGTCTGTGGAGCCAACCATGTCATACATAGAGTGCTCACTGGCTGAATGAAACACACTGGTCCCGCCCCATCCCTGTGATTGGCTGTGGAGCCAACCGTGTGATCCATACACTTCTCACTGGGTGAATGAAACGCTGCTGGTCCCGCCCCATCCCTGTGATTGGCAGTGGAGTTCTCACTGGCTGATTTTTGAAAGTAGGCTGCCAGGCCTTTCTTCCTAATCCATCTTAGTCTGGAAATTCTGCTGATACCTGTTCATCACAGCAACACACAGTCCTCCACTGATGGACAGGTGGCAGCCAGTGTTGGATTATCCAATAAGCAAGTAGGCATGGGCTGACTTATGCTTACTTGCTAATCTGTAGTGAACCATTTCACATTTTTCACACCAGATTCTGCTTCTAGGTACGGCTGGCATCTGTCTCTCTCCTAACCTCATAGCACCTTCCTACAGAATCAAAGCCTCTTTGCAAATTTACAATCCCTGATGGTGTGAGAGGTACGTTAGCCAGGAATTGAACCCGGGTCTCCTGCATGGGAGGTGAAAATGCTACCGCTGACCCACCAATGCCAGAGGACTAGTCAGGGCCAAGGCCTAGGACCTTAGGAAATTCAAGTGAAAAATGCAGAGGGAAGGTGCCTCCTGGAGTCCAGGCACCTTCATTCGCACAGTCCCAGAGTTGGTCACGAGGCAAATCTACTTAAGACCTGCTGGCCTGGGGCTGGGAAGAGAAGGGCAGGTTCTAAGTTTAGGGTTAATTCTTCATTGAGATCTCTCATCAGGCTGAGCACCAACAGCCACTGCAGATAGCTGTGCAGGCCAGGTGTCACACAACTTGAAGGGTGTCACTCATGCCGTAGTCTATGCAAGTGGCATCCCTTGAGTTGTGCAGTGTGCAACCTGCACAACTCTCTATGGTGGCCTTGGGGGATCTCATTCACTTGGTTCCCTGTGGGCCCCCAGTAGTCAAACGAGAGGACAGGTTGGGGTGGAGGAGGTGAGGGGGCAGTGAGTGGAGGCAGAGTTCTGGCCAAATTATTTCAGGTTCTGGGCCTGGCCGGAGCAGCCTGACACTGTCCCCAGGTTCCATGGGAACCGCATGCTGTTCTATTTCACTTGATGACTCAGAATCAAAAGGCTTTCTCTTAGAAAAACCAAGCCATGAGCAGGTGCAGAGTGAATCATGCCGCCTCTGAGGGCACTGGTATCGATTCTGCATAAATGAAGCAGGGCCCGTGCCCCCGGGGTGTTGCTGCGAGCAGCTCTGCAGGTGTCTTGGCCAATGGAAATGGAACATGACTTTGAAATGCTGCCCCCGGCCCTGGCTGCGCCTCCATTCCCCTCCCAGGATGACATGTGGCTTCAGGGTGTGGGACTGGGCTTATCCGCTGGGGCTCAGCATATTCTGAGCTCCAGTCTAGGGGGCGCAGCCCAGGCACAGGACCCAGAAAGGGCCAGGAGCTTGAGGGGCCTATGGGCCAAGGAAGTGGCTCCACCAGCAGGTGCTGAAGACACGTGTGATCCACCCATCAGAGACTGCCCTGCCACCTTCTCCCATAGGCTGCCAGGAAGCCTTCTGGGATGGCTGACTCCCCCTAAAGCTGCTTTGGTCTTAGTCTGAATTTTCAAGGAATAGAATGCTGAGGGCATGGGGTAGAGGAAAGGGTGGGCAGGTCTCATGCAAGCAGGACAATGTGCTTGGGGTCCCATATCCCACCAGGGATGCCTGGCCAAGGCAGGGCCTGTGTCTTTAACTTCCTTTGTCCCAGTTCTGGTGCCCTGGTGGCACAGTGGTTAAAGCGCTTGGCTGATCACAGAAAAGTTGACGGTCGAATCCACTAGCCACTTATGGCAGTCTGCTTCCACAAAGATTCACAGCCTTGGAAACCCTACAGGTCAGTTCCGCTCTGTCCTATAGGGTTGCTATGAGTGGCAAATAAACTTGATGGAAGGGTTTTGTATCCCAGATCCAACCAATCAGCTCCTCTGAAGCTAGCCAAGCCCACCCCAGCAACCTCTCTGCCCATCCCTCAGTCTCCCCAGCAATGGGACACAGGCCTATCAGCCCAGTGCTTCCTCGTGGTCACCCACTAGTTACAGCAGAACTGAACTAACCATTTCAGAATCTAAGAGGGAGTGACAACAGCTTCCAAAGCAAAGTACTGCCTTCATTCCCACGGCCAACTTTCCTCCAGCTGCCCACCCACCACAGGCTTCCCTCCATGTGCAAAGGCAGTGAAGCGTTCCTGATACTCACGAAGGAGGTACTCGGAGCTGTCATGGTCATAATCGTTGTCCTCGGGGAAGTGATTGATCCGGAAGCAGTGCCCTTTGTAAAGCCCTGGAGAGAACAACAGGAGGAGAATGTTGTAAATGCTCCATGGGCTCATTCATCCATTCATTCCAGACAGGACTTACTTTGGGTACCAGCCTCTGCAAAGGCCCTAGGGATAGAGAGAAGACAGGCTCTCCCAGGGGTCTGGCCTGGCGGACACAAGCATGTACAAAGATGCATGTGTGAGAAGTGCTCAGGAGCAGGGTGGCTGGACACCTTGGGGACCTAGAGAGGGAAGGTCCCCTCAGCTGGGGGAAGTAAGAGGGACCCCCAAAGGCAACAGTTATGGGTTGATTTGTGACCACAGGAAGACATGTTCAAGTCACAAACTTGGCACATGTGAATGTGATCCAGTTTGGAAACACTGTCTTTGCAGATACAATTAATTAACATGAGGTCACACTGGGCCCTAATCCAATGTGACTGGTGTTCCTATAAGCAGAAGAGAAGAGACACAGAGCCAGATACCCAGAGAGACAAAGATGTGTGAATCCTGTAGCAGAGATTAGCAGAGATTAAAGCGATGCTGCCACAACTCGCCCAGGACCACCTGAAGCCAGAAGAGGCAAGGAAGCTCCCCCTCCCTGCCTGACCCCCCCTCCTAGCCACAGAGAGAGTATGGTCCTGCTGACACCCTGATGCAGACTTCTAGCTGCTAGAACTCTGAAAGAGTAAATTTCTGTTGTTTTAAGTTGCCCAGTTGTAGTACTGGTTACTACTATCCCAGGAAACAAATAGAGTGGTCATGTCATACATGGTCCAAATCTGGACACCTGTGAGAGTGGAAGGACCTCTTGTTGGTACAAGAGGTGTCAAGCAGAACTGTTCTGGGCAAGCAGGACATATGACCCATACCCAAGGGGATCCTAGAGCCAGGTCTTAAGAAATGACAAGGCATTTGCCCACTGAGAATGGAACGAGGTGGGAGTTTCCAGGCAGAGAAGCAAGACATGCAGAGGTGGGGCAGGAGCTTGGCGTGTTGGGGAGCATGGAAAGTTGACTGTCACTAGAGTTTAGCAGGATCTGTGTAAGGGTGGAGGCCTGGGGCTGAGGAGGCGGCAGGCAGCCATAGCAGGAGCGGCTGTACGTCATAGGTACATCATGATGAAATCTGCCCCTGTGCTGTCTATCTTTCATATTCTTCTCTCTTTCTCAAACACACAGTTACTGTGAGTCCCTCCTAAGGCACATCTCAGTCTTCACATAGGTGAAACCATGACTCTAGTCCCCTCATTCAGTGTGATCAAAAGAAGAGGACACAGAGCAATGACACTTCCAGAAAGGCTGCATCCATATCCTGGCTGGTTTTCCCTCTCCACTCTGTGAAGTGACCTTCACAGGGTGGGAGGCATGAGCCAACCAACCTTCCTTCCAGAATCTCCCATCTAGCTCTCCCAACCCCTGCTCCCCGGGAATCTGGAAACACCCACAGAACCAGACACAGGTAGAGAGGGGGTGTTCAGGGTTTCATGCCTTGCCCATGCCTGCCACCCCCTCACTCCCTGGTCAGCCTCCCCACTGGTGCAGAGACACAGCAAGGAGCTCATCTCAACACCCATGTGGCCACGGCTGGGTCTGTTTCCAACCAGGGCCAATCTTCTTCTGCAGCTGCCTCCAAGCATCCTGCTGGCCTCCAGCAGTCCTCCCGGCCGTGCCTGACCTCACTGTTGGGAGCACAGTTTTGGAAGCATCCTCTTCTCAGTACTTCCAGTTGGGAGAGGCCACTAATGAGCTCCGAGCATGCCGTTCTGCCACCCTGGTTACCAGTTAGCTACTTTACCAGCTGGCTTTCCCAAACCTTCCCCACTGTCTGGTTCCTTTAGCTGCTGCCTCCAAATATCTGGGTGCTCAGTAAGGATCACTCTTTCCTAAAAGCCCACAGGCCTGAAGGGGTGAGCTGGGCTTGGTCAGAGATGGTGGGAAGGCAGACTAGGGGTCTTAGAATGATGTCTTGAGTTTGATGACACTTGCACCATGTTCTCTGCGGAGCACAAAACATGAACAAGTTTGCTAACCCCCTTAGAGTTCTCATCTGTAGAACAGGGATACCACAGTCTTTATCTCATTGGATCTTAGGAGGATTAAATGAGATCACAGTACAAAGATACTTAGGATGATTCTTACCCATATCGCTAGCTCAGGGGAGATGCTGTTCTTGGACCCTGAAATAGCCTGCTCTCTACTCCATGTGTCTGATCTTTCGTGAGTATGTGCTTGTGAGCAAGAGGAAAGGGTACCATGGAGGTTGGTTGTTTTGGTTACCCAGTGCCTCTCTGACAGGAATATACCACAAATGGGATGGCCTTAACAAACAGGAGTTTATTCTCTAACAATTTGGAGGCTTTAAGTCCAAGTTCAAATTGCCAGGCTCTAAGGGCTGGGTGAAAGGCCCTCAGCCTTGGGCTTCAGCTTTGCCTCCAGCTCCTGATCCACTGAAGCTAGAGGCTTTTCTTCACTCAGACAGCTGCTGGCTGCTGAGGCTCCCAAGCCCAAGGTTGACAAGTAAAAGGCACAGTCCCAATATTACCAAATCACATGGCAGGCCATTAATTAAAGTCCATTGTAAGTCCCAAGGTCGGCAGAGCATGGCAGCTACTGAACAATGACACGGTTGCAGGGTTCAAGGTGCCATTAGCTAGAGACCATTCCCAAGGCTTCTGCTTATATACAGGAAGCAGACCACATTCTCTAAGGCACCTACTTAGCTGCTCACAGTAGATTCCACCATGGAGTTGATTGCCAGTCTCATCATGGGGAACACTACATCCAGCTGCCCAGCCATTCAAGCAGGCCCAACCAAGTTGACACATCAACTGAACTACCACACTGGCCTTCCAAAAAACCAAACTAAACTCACTGCCATCGAGTCGATTCTGACTCATAGCAACCCCCACTGGATTTCTGAGGCTCTCCGAAATCTTTACGGGAGTAGATCGTCCCATCTTCCATCTGCAGAGTGGTGGGTAAGTTTGAACTGCTGACCTTCTGGTTAGCAGCCAAGTGCCTTATCCAGTGCACCACCAGAGCTCCTTGGAGGCTGGCCTTAGGAGAGCCAAAAGGGAAGGGAGCCTCAGACATTAGGGCCCTGCAGGTGAACCCTTCCTGAACGCCCTGAGCAACTGTCCTAGGGGAAATGCAGACTGTGCTCCCAGAGATAAGAGGCCTCTTAGTGAGCCAGTATGTTCTACAGGTAGTCACAGGAGCCCACGTTACCACATGGATAAGAAAGCACGGTTTGGGGGCATCTCACTGAGTGTGCTGACGTGAAACTCATGCAATCTCACAGCTCAGGTTTCCAAAGCAACTGTAAGAGGTATCTACTCTCGTGCCCCACCTGGGATCTAAATCCTGTCCCCTGGTACCTCCCATTTGGGGACTGCCAGTGATTGGGGAACTCACCACCTCCCAAGATACTCCATTTTCAAACAGCTGGAACTTTAGAGGAGTCCATGGGTGGTGCAAACAGTGAATGCACTCAGCTGCTAACCAAAAGTTTGGAGGTTCAAGTTCCCAGAGGTGCCTCAGAAGAAAGACTTGGGGATCTGTTTAGAAAAATCAGCCGTTGCAAACCCTATGAAGCTCAGTTCTGCTGTGGTACACATGGCGTCACCAGGTGTCAGAATCTACTCCACTACAGCTGGTTTGAACTTTGGGAAGTTCCTGAAAGTTCACCTGCCTGTAGAAAACTCTGTGCAATGGTGCTTTTATACTCCCTGGGAGTGAAAAAAAGCCCCTCTATCACGTGTCAGCCCTTCAGCTCACTGAAGAGCAGGATAGGGTGTAACTGGTTGGAGTCACGAGTTACTTGTCCAGTGTCCCAGGATTTGAGGACCAAAGCTAAGGACAAGAGGTGGCCCATGAGCTACCAACAGTTGACCAGACCCATCCTCCTGCCAGATCTTATTCACAGGCATGAGGCATGAGGCCTGATGCAACACCATCAGCCTCACCTCTGTCCCTAGTTTAAGGAAAGGGAGTTCTGGGGGGTAAAAGGGTATGAATTGGTCTGGTAAGGAGTGCAAAGAGTTTGCTCCCTGGCACCAAAGCCAAGAATTTGAGATAGTTCCCTAAATGTCTTCTCTAGGTTAAATATCTTCTTCCCTTCAGCTGTTGTTCCAAGAGCCTTCTCCACCACTGCTCCCTCCTTTCCATCAGCTCTCAGCACTCAGTGCTCTGGACCACAGTACCCATCACTGACTCCAACCTTCCAGGCTGGTTGGACAAGCCCAGCACAGTAGCCTGTCTCTTCCTTTTCTCTGGACTCCACGCTTCTGCCATTGGGGCCTGGGGTCACTTTTGACTCAGTCTCCTAAGACTTTTGTATAAGACTTGCCTTGCCTTCCCCAACATGTTTTGTTGAGTGCAATGTTTAGTCCTAAGGATTTTACCTTTATCTCTGTCAAATTTAGGAGCTCTGGTAGC